GACAAACGGAATGCAGTCCAGACGGGTCCTGGGGAGCGCCACCCATCCCCCGTCCCTCCATCACCCTCCTCTTACCCTCCATCCACCATCCCTCCATCACACTCCTCTTACCCTCCATCCCCCGTCCCTCCATCACACTCTTCTTACCCTCCATCCCCCGTCCCTCCATCACACTCCTCTTACCCTCCATCCACCATCCCTCCATCACACTCCTCTTACCCTCCATCCACCATCAGTCCACCACTCTCCTCTTACTCTTCATAAACCGTCCCACCATCCTTTCACGGCATGCTTCTTACCCGCCATTTATTCTCTGTTGTATCTTTTACCCATTCTCATTCTTTTTCATACCGATTCATCCCGACCTTGTGGCCTCTCGTGTTTGTTTTCCATGATCACGCGTGGCATCGCTATGTATGGCTTCTAGTTATCATCTGTTTGGTTTCCTCTCCAGGCAGAGTATGAAGTTACACCGGATGAAAAACTTGGAGAAAAGGGAAGGGAGATCATTCTGAAGTTCCTCACCCCGGAGGTAAGTCCGCTGCTCGGCTAAATTGCCCACTACGGACAAGACTTGTGTCCATAGCTGAATGTAGGAAGATGTCATAAAGAGGACAGGACTTTGTTGGGCAGAACAACCAGATTGTGCGTTTTCTTCGAAAAGAAGCTTCTGATCTGGTGACTACCATGCTCACCTTCATAAATGATGTCCAGAGAGTTGTCAGTTTACTGTAACATGCTGGGTGAATGCAATCACCATAATGCTGGGACGGGGCGAGATCTGAACAATGAATATGCAATCAGCACGGTCCAATCTGTGTTCCACCCTTGGGAACGGCACGGACATAAATCTGAAGCCAGGCTTGACAATACTCAGCCATTAGACATCAGCCCGTGTGTCCTCCCGGCAACTGTCACAATTTAGGATGTTTTTATGTAAATTAATCTGCAGCCATTTACCTGTTTGTTCCGAACATAGAAGAGTTTAGTACAGTTATCTAAATGTGTCTGGGGCTTTGACTCTCTACTGTCACGGTCTAGAGACCAGGGCACTAGGGTACGTGAGCTCCTGTGTTTGCGGAGTTGGTAGGAGTCACAAAGAGGCGGGATATCGGGGATGTAGGTCACAGGGAGAGAGGAACGAATGATCTGTGCGTTCTGAGGACGCACTAGAGGCGCAGAATCTAAGAAGGGCCAGGTATTCGACAGAGCCTCTAGTGGTGAGGATGATTGGCTGCTGGACACCTTCCAGGTTGCCGCCCTCTAGCGCACCCACACAGACGCAAGGGACTAGTTCATGCAGCGGGGAACTGGATACAAACTGGTAGGGAAGAAACTTGTAACCAAGGAGGAGGAAGACAGGAAGAGAGAGACAGGAAGAGAGAGAGAGAGACAGGAAGAGAGAGAGAGAGACAGGAAGAGAGAGAGAGAGACAGGAAGAGAGAGAGAGAGACGGAGTGAGGAGGATTGGATGAGACCCGCGGTTGACGTGAGAGATGGATGAGACGGGAAACATTGAAGACTGTGTAATATTGGAAGTTACAGAGTTCACAATTTGATGTAGTGCGCTGTACACTGTATCATAGCTCCTTACTGTCCTTCCCCAAGATCCAAATCCTTCTTTTTTTTTTCACCTCCGCTACAATATACGGGTAGAAACCTTTATAAATCAGCGCACTCCATAGCCACCAAGTGTTAATAAAATTGTATAAACCCCTCGGAAAGAAATATGCTGCTCATTTATATATTTATGTATTTTTTGCAGCACCCATCACAAAATGTTTAATGAAATAAAGCTTGATTGAAGATCTTTAAAAAAATGTTTTAAATAATAAGTGTAAAATAGGGGAGAAGGAGAGCAGATTGGCTGCAGCCTTGTGAGACACCATAGGCTGACAGCCCAGAAACAGGGAGCAAAGCAAAAATCCGGCACGGATTTCCAGATATTGTGACATCTACATTACAAGGTGTAACAAGGACACTCCACTGTAGACCAGAGGTGCAAGTAAAATGCAGTTTATTTGCTTTCAAAACGGTAGATAACACGAAATCCAACATAAATAGCTTGCTGTAGCATATAACAGATAAGGGCTCACCAATCCTCAAGGTGTCCCAGTCTTTTCATAAGTCTCTCTTGCAGCACTGCTGCTCCGGCCTCAATCTTTAGGGCCACTGTCTGGTTCCTACAGACAACGGCAATAACATGCCAATCCTCCCACTATGGTTCACAAACCCGCAGCTCCCTGCTGCACTGGCCTCCGCACTGACTCACAGGTGGGGCCCTGAACACATCCCAGCACACTCTTCATGAGGGATGTACACAGGTGCGCAATCAGGTGCTGGTCACTACTAAAGCATGGACCCAGGAATGGAGATTTCGTCCCACCCAGAGCTCTAAGAAATCTCCCGGCTCCAGGATCCCAACTATGATCCAGAAAACCTGGAAAGAACTGAAAAGGCAATTCTCTCCTGGTACACGTACTGTCTTCCTGGAGCCACTCAGCCCCTCTGGCTGAGAACCCTGGGTGACTTTGAGGCCACCTAACACCGTGCCTCACAATGCCACATAGGCAATGGGGAGAGGGTGTTCTGGCAGTGTTGGATACAGTCAGTTTGGTATGAAAAAGTATTCTGTAGATGTAAATTGGAAAGAGTTGGATGAAATAGGCCGGAGGAATGTGGCAACGAGGACTGAGTTACACTGGTACAAGGATGGCAGGGACCACGAAGAGGAAGGATGCAGGACACATAGAAGGCTACGCAGGTGTAACGCAGAACGTCTGGACCAGAGAACAGCACAACTGGCTGCACACAGAGAGTAGGACTGAAATAAGCCATAAGATTTGTGTCGTCTTTTGCTGGTAATACTGAAGCTCGGTTTCCTTTCCTGCAGTCTCCAGTTTATGTATCTGAAGTTGGACAAGATATTGTACATCAGATGGAGGAGAAACTGGAGATCAGCCCGTACAAAGAGCTTTTCGCCAACTGTGCCAAGTAAGTGCCAATGAACCAGCAGTGGGCCTGGATGTACAGTGGTGAGGGAGAGATCAGCGGGGCCCGATGTACAGCAGTGGGTGAGGGAGAGATCAGCGGGGCCCGATGTACAGCCGTGGGTGAGGGAGAGATCAGCGGGGCCCGATGAACAGCAGTGGGTGAGGGGTTAGTGAGGCCTGCATGTACAGCCGTGGGTGAGGGAGAGATCAGCGGGGCCCGATGAACAGCAGTGGGTGAGGGGTTAGTGAGGCCTGCATGTACAGCCGTGGGTGAGGGAGAGATCAGCGGGGCCCGATGAACAGCAGTGGGTGAGGGGTTAGTGAGGCCTGCATGTACAGCCGTGGGTGAGGGAGAGATCAGCGGGGCCCGATGAACAGCAGTGGGTGAGGGGTTAGTGAGGCCTGCATGTACAGCCGTGGGTGAGGGAGAGATCAGCGGGGCCCGATGAACAGCAGTGGGTGAGGGGTTAGTGAGGCCTGCATGTACAGCCGTGGGTGAGGGAGAGATCAGCGGGGCCCGATGAACAGCAGTGGGTGAGGGGTTAGTGAGGCCTGCATGTACAGCCGTGGGTGAGGGAGAGATCAGCGGGGCCCGATGAACAGCAGTGGGTGAGGGGTTAGTGAGGCCTGCATGTACAGCCGTGGGTGAGGGAGAGATCAGCGGGGCCCGATGAACAGCAGTGGGTGAGGGGTTAGTGAGGCCTGCATGTACAGCCGTGGGTGAGGGAGAGATCAGCGGGGCCCGATGAACAGCAGTGGGTGAGGGGTTAGTGAGGCCTGCATGTACAGCCGTGGGTGAGGGAGAGATCAGCGGGGCCCGATGAACAGCAGTGGGTGAGGGGTTAGTGAGGCCTGCATGTACAGCCGTGGGTGAGGGAGAGATCAGCGGGGCCCGATGAACAGCAGTGGGTGAGGGGTTAGTGAGGCCTGCATGTACAGCCGTGGGTGAGGGAGAGATCAGCGGGGCCCGATGAACAGCAGTGGGTGAGGGGTTAGTGAGGCCTGCATGTACAGCCGTGGGTGAGGGAGAGATCAGCGGGGCCCGATGAACAGCAGTGGGTGAGGGGTTAGTGAGGCCTGCATGTACAGCCGTGGGTGAGGGAGAGATCAGCGGGGCCCGATGAACAGCAGTGGGTGAGGGGTTAGTGAGGCCTGCATGTACAGCCGTGGGTGAGGGAGAGATCAGCGGGGCCCGATGAACAGCAGTGGGTGAGGGGTTAGTGAGGCCTGCATGTACAGCCGTGGGTGAGGGAGAGATCAGCGGGGCCCGATGAACAGCAGTGGGTGAGGGGTTAGTGAGGCCTGCATGTACAGCCGTGGGTGAGGGAGAGATCAGCGGGGCCCGATGAACAGCAGTGGGTGAGGGGTTAGTGAGGCCTGCATGTACAGCCGTGGGTGAGGGAGAGATCAGCGGGGCCCGATGAACAGCAGTGGGTGAGGGGTTAGTGAGGCCTGCATGTACAGCCGTGGGTGAGGGAGAGATCAGCGGGGCCCGATGAACAGCAGTGGGTGAGGGGTTAGTGAGGCCTGCATGTACAGCCGTGGGTGAGGGAGAGATCAGCGGGGCCCGATGAACAGCAGTGGGTGAGGGGTTAGTGAGGCCTGCATGTACAGCAGTTGGGAAGTGATTGGTAGGGTTAGATGTATGGCAGCGGAGGATGGTTTAGTGGGGTTGGATATATGGAGGATCTGGTAGGGCTAGATGTATGGCAGTGGTGGAGGATTTATTGTGGCCACTAATACAGAGTGTTTGGCGGGGCTGGATGTCTGGCAGTGGGATTGGTGGGGCTGGATGTATGGCAGTGGGAGAGGGATTGGTGGGGCTGGACATATGGAGGGTTTGGTAGGGCTAGATGTATGGCAGTGGGATTGGTGGGGCTGGATGTATAGCAGTTGGGGGGGATGGATAGGGTTAGATGTACGGCAGTGGGAGAGGGATTGGTGGGGCTGGACATATGGAGGGTTTGGTAGGGCTAGATGTATGGCAGTGGTGGAGGATTTAGTGTGGCCACCTGTGCAGAGTGTTAGGTGGGGCTGGATGTATGGCAGTTGGGGGGGATGGATAGGGTTAGATGTATAGCAGCGGGAGAGGGCCTGGTGGGGCTGGATGTATAGCAGTTGGGGGGGATGGATAGGGTTAGATGTATAGCAGCGGGAGAGGGCCTGGTGGGGCTGGATGTATAGCAGTTGGGGGGGATGGATAGGGTTAGATGTATAGCAGCGGGAGAGGGCCTGGTGGGGCTGGATGTATAGCAGTTGGGGGGGATGGATAGGGTTAGATGTATAGCAGCGGGAGAGGGCCTGGTGGGGCTGGATGTATAGCAGTTGGGGGGGATGGATAGGGTTAGATGTATAGCAGCGGGAGAGGGCCTGGTGGGGCTGGATGTATAGCAGTTGGGGGGGATGGATAGGGTTAGATGTATAGCAGCGGGAGAGGGCCTGGTGGGGCTGGATGTATAGCAGTTGGGGGGGATGGATAGGGTTAGATGTATAGCAGCGGGAGAGGGCCTGGTGGGGCTGGATGTATAGCAGTTGGGGGGGATGGATAGGGTTAGATGTATAGCAGCGGGAGAGGGCCTGGTGGGGCTGGATGTATAGCAGTTGGGGGGGATGGATAGGGTTAGATGTATAGCAGCGGGAGAGGGCCTGGTGGGGCTGGATGTATAGCAGTTGGGGGGGATGGATAGGGTTAGATGTATAGCAGCGGGAGAGGGCCTGGTGGGGCTGGATGTATAGCAGTTGGGGGGGATGGATAGGGTTAGATGTATAGCAGCGGGAGAGGGCCTGGTGGGGCTGGATGTATAGCAGTTGGGGGGGATGGATAGGGTTAGATGTACGGCAGCGGGAGAGGGATTGGTGGGGCTAGATGTATGGCTGTGGTGGAGGATTTAGTGTTGCCACCTGTGCAGAGTGCTAGGTGGGGCTGGATGTATGGCAGTTGGGGGGGATGGATAGGGTTAGATGTATAGCAGTGGGACAGGGACTGGTGGGGCTGGATGTATGGCAGTTGGGGGGGATGGATAGGGTTAGATGTATAGCAGTGGGACAGGGACTGGTGGGGCTGGATGAATGGAAGTTAGGGGGGGTTTAGGCAGATGCATTGCAGCCTCAGGTGTTCTGATCTACACTGTCATTACAGGCAGGGCCTCCCACACTAAAATACATGAAGTGTCACATGTCCCACAACGTCACTACAGATGGCCCCAGTAGCCAACACTACAGATGCCTCTCCCACGCACTGTTCCAAATAAAGTGTCACATGACCTGCAATGATACTACAGATGGACCCTCCTACACACCGTAACTATAAAGTGTCACATGGTCCGCCCTGACACCGCATATTGTCCCACCCACACACTGAAATATTGATTATTTGGGGCAGTGATGCAGTATACATGTCAGCCCCCCATTCTGCAGGATTCAGCTGCAGCTTTCACACAGATAACATTTAGGGTTGTGCCAACTGCGAGTGCCAGGTGTCAGCCCTTCAGCTCAACATTGGTGACACCCTTAATGGTAATACTATTGTGTTCTGAATGGCCGTTGTGGTTCTGCTCTGTAAAGTGACAATGGTTTTCCAGGTCTGTCAATGATTTTCTGAGCGGGGAGCCCTTCCAGTGTTATCTGTCCAGCATGTACTTTGACCGATTCCTGCAGTGGAAGTGTCTGGAGAGGTAGGTGTCCCGAGTGCCGTCTTCTGTGGTCACAAAGCCAATGTCGTGGTCAGTACTGAGGAACCTCTTATATTGTAGGCAGCCAGTGACAAAGAACACCTTTCGCCAGTACCGAGTTCTTGGAAAAGGCGGCTTTGGAGAGGTGAGTCCCATCATTTATATTACTCAAGGGAGAGATATCTATTGGTTGACTCCTCCATGGGACTTGTGGTTGATACGAGGATTGCCAGTCTGATTGGGGACATCAGGACTCCACAGAGATGCATGGGATCATTGTTTGTTTGTATCTCACAGTAATAAGTTCATCAGAACATCAATCATTTTTACATTTGTGTATTTCACTTTAAAAAAAACGTTATTTCTCCTGTGTCGTTTTATTTCATCGAGAGTTTTGATATCCTCGCCCCCCTCCATAGATGCCTCATGGAACCTCACAATTATCACCAGTCAGTGGTCATTTTTGTGAATTGAATGTAACATACAAAGTCCTGCCATAGCCAAACAATAATGTGCATGTAGTAAACTCTGTGTAATAAGATGTTATGGAGCTGACCCTCTCACCCTCCCCTGTGGACCCTCTAGTGTCCCCACCTTCCAATGTGGACCATCTTGTGTGCCCACCTTCCAATGTGGACCATCTTTTGTTGCCTCATTCCAATGTGGACCCTTTAATATCCCCACCTTCCCATGTGGACCCTCTAGGGTCCCTGCCTTCCCATGTGAAGCCTCTACTGTCCCTACATTCCAATATGGACCCCCTAGTGTCCCCACCTTCCAATGTGGACCATCTTGTGTGCCCTCCTTCCAATATGGACCCTTTAGTGTCCCTACCTACCCATGTAGACCAGCTTTTGTTGCCTCTTTCCAATGTGGACCCTTTAATATCCCCACCTTCCCATGTGGACCCTCTAGTGTCCCTGCCTTCCCATGTGAATCCTCTACTGTCCCTACATTCCAATATAGACCCTCTAGAGTCCCCACATTCCCATGTGGAACTTCTAGTGTCTCCACCTTCCCATGTGGACTCTCTCAAGTCCCCATCTTCCCATGTGGACTCTCATGTGTTCCCACATTCCCATGTGGACCCTTTCGTGTCCCCACCTTCCCATGTGGACCATCTTGTGTCCCCACCTTCCCATGTGGACCATCTTGTGTCCCCATCTGTCCATATGGACCATCTTGTGTCCCCACCTTTCCATGGGGACCCCTACTGTCCCCACCTTCCTATGTGGACCACCTACTGTCCCCACCTTCCTATGTAGACCCCCTACTGTCCCCACTTTCCCATTAGGCTCAGGTTGCATCATATGCTCAGACTGCAACATCTGCAGATTGTTGAGAATTTTCTGTTGTTTTAAAATAATTCACACACATATAAGAGCAGTCCCGGTCAATGTACGTGTGGTCAGCACACAAAATTCAAGACATTTGGGAAGCCATGTCACTGGTGGGTGGTGGAATTTTTCTTGGGTTTCAATGTAGATATTTACAGCAGCTTCCTACTGATAGAGGACATCGGGGACAATCTTTTTTTATTTGTCCCATTAGTCCAGTCTTCCAGCTGTGACCTTTGACCTGCAGATGGAGGACATTTTTTGCTCTGTCTTCTTATCAAAGGAACTTTCTAGCTAAATGTGGAGAAACATATTCCTAGTGTTACAAAGAGACCCCCACCCCCACACTGCCTACTCCTTCCCCATCTCTTTATTCAGGCGTACTCATAAATGGCTCCCTTCTACTACCCATGACAACATGGACAGGTCATGCCATAGCATGCAGGTCAGGACAGGTGTACACTAAATGGAGCTTCTATTTGGCAGGTGTGTGCGTGTCAAGTACGTGCCACGGGCAAAATGTATGCCTGCAAACGCTTAGAGAAGAAGAGGATTAAGAAGAGGAAGGGCGAGTCAATGGCGCTGAACGAGAAGCAGATCCTGGAGAAAGTGACCAGCAGATTTGTGGTAAGGATCGGGCGCAGCACTCTGGATTATCTCTGGCCCCCATGGGCCCATTTGTGGACAACGGTACGGGGCGGGCAATGGAAGCCGCTAGAACATTCCGCTAAGCCTCATTTATCACACTCATTGGGTAAGATTTAATACATGGATTCAACCTTACAGAGCAAGTCTTCTATTAGCTCTACCATGGCCAGGGTACAGGAGAACCTCCAAGACTCATGTATCACTTTTCCTGAAATAAGAACTGTCTGTGTAACACTTGGACCTGGACAAGGACAGCTGGAGAATATGCGCTGACTATGTTATATAATGAGAATACACATTCAGTAATGCTTACAATTAAAGCTGTATGCGATATATATCTAGGCTCAAACTCATATGTTTGGACAGAAGCATATGGAATACACAGAGAATAATGTCATATGAAAACCTGATTCACTGCTATAGAGCCACACAGACAGTTCTTATTTCAGACACAGCTGTTGCAGTGATGGATGTGAAGGAGCAGATGAGGAGACAATTGCTGGAAAGTATGAAGATTTGGTGTGGTAGAACCTCCTCCACAGGCAGGCAGAATCCACGCATGGCGTGATCGGCTCACGGTTATCCTGCCGCCCTCCGGTGCCGCCATATGTCCAACAAGGAGGCGGTAGATGCAGCAAGAACACATTCATTCACTTGGCATTATAAAGAAGCTCTGACGTTTGCTCCTTGTTTATATCAGGTGAACCTGGCATATGCGTACGAGACGAAGGACGCCCTTTGTCTCGTGCTAACGTTAATGAACGGAGGAGACCTGAAATTCCACATCTATAGCATGGGGAATCCGGGCTTCCAGGAGCAGAGAGCCTCCTTCTACGCAGCTGAGATACTGTGCGGCCTTGGCGATCTTCATCAAGAGAGCATTGTGTACAGGTTAGACAACCATCCTGCTTTTATTGTCATTTTATTGTATATTGTGATGGATTGGACAATGACCCTTCTATTCTGTCCCATCCAGAGACCTGAAGCCAGAAAACATCTTGTTAGATGATCACGGTGAGTAGACTGCGGCCTCCTGTGTGAAGGGTCGGCATGTGACATGGCCTCCTGGGAGAAGGGTCGACATGTGACGGAGCCTCTTGGGTAAAGGGTCGGCATGTTAAATGGCCTCCTGGAAGAAGGGTCGACATGTGACGCAGCCCCTTGGGTAAAGGGTCGGCATGTTAAATGGCCTCCTGGGAGAAGGGTCGACATGTGACGGAGCCTCTTGGGTAAAGGGTCGGCATGTTAAATGGCCTCCTGGAAGAAGGGTCGACATGTGACGCAGCCCCTTGGGTGAAGGGTTGGCATGTGATGTGGCCTCCTGGGAGAAGGGTCAGCATGTGATATGGCCTCCTGGAAGAAGGGTTGGCATGTAGCATGGGCTCCTGGGTCAAGGGTCGGCTAATGATGCAGCTTCCTGGGAGATGGGTTGGCATGTGAATTGGCTTCCTGGGAGAAGAGTCGGCATGTGACACAGCCTCTTGGGTGAAGGGTCGACATGTGAATTAGCCTCCTGGGAGAAGGGTCGGCATGTGACACGGCCTCCTGAGAGAAGGGTGGGCAAGTGATGTGACCTCCTGGAAAGAGTGTCAGCATTTAACATGAGATCCCTGGAGAAGGGTCAGTATGTGACGTGGCCTCCTAGGGGAAGGGTTGCCATGTAGCATGGGCTCCTGGGTCAAGGGTCGGCTTATGATGCAGCTTACTGGGAGATGGGTCAGCATGTGAATTGGCTTCCTGGGAGAAGAGTCGGCATGTGACGTAGCCTCTTGGGTGAAGGGTCGGCATGTGAATTGGCCTCCTTGGGAGAAGGGTCGGCATGTGACGCGACCTCCTGAGAGAAGGGTAGGCAAGTGATGTGACCTCCTGGAAAGAGTGTCAGCATTTAACATGAGATCCCTGGAGAAGGGTCAGTATGTGACGTGGCCTCCTAGGGGAAGGGTTGCCATGTAACATGGGCTCCTGGGTCAAGGGTCAGCTTATGATGAAGCTTCCTGGAAGATGGATTGGCATGTGACGCAGCTTCCTGGGAGAAGATATAGCATGTGACTCAGCCTTTGGACATGTCACAAGCATGATGGGAATCTCCCTGTTATTTTGCAGCAGGAAAGTGTTTCCAATGTCCGTGTTGTCCATCATTACAGGTCACATCCGGATATCAGATTTGGGTCTAGCTGTGAAAATACCAGAGGGGGACGCAATCCGTGGCCGTGTGGGGACAGTAGGTTACATGGGTGAGTAGGTTCTTCTTCCTCCTGTGACTCTGCTATGTTATTTGGCCAGGCCAATTCTACTTCTTTTTCTGTCCAAATGAATCCAAAATGCAGTAATGTGACAAGTCTATGAGCTTGAAGTAACTACAGCAGATGAGTGACGACTGTTGGAAGCTTTAATAGGGGTCAGTTTGATTCCCAGTTCTCAATCTCATATCCTTCTCTATGGGAAGATGACCCAATATTGCAGCCCAGACAGTGAAAACAGGATCCTTGAAGGGCTTGTTCACTCCTAAGACAAAGGCTGTGTGAGTACCCTTGACCCTAAAAGAGTAGTTTTTCTTGCCAGGAGACCCAAGATTGGCAGCCTGGCTCCATTTCTCTATGTTCAGCATGTGAATTGTCCTTACAGCCCCGGAGGTGCTCAATAACCAGCGATATTCCTTCAGTCCTGATTTCTGGGGCCTGGGCTGCCTGATCTATGAGATGATAGCTGGACAGAGTCCGTTCAGGGGCAGAAAGGAGAAGGTGAAGCGGGAAGAGGTGGACAGGAGGGTCCTGGAGACAGAGGAGGTTTATAGCGAGAAGTTCTCTGAGGAGGCAAAGTCACTGTGTAAAATGGTGAGTCCACTCAGTGCTCTGCTCCTCCATATGTACTCATTTCAGGCTGTGCCCGAGGGGGGGTCACTCAATTCCACATCATGGACATCTCTATTGATCTTACATGTCTCCCCCTATCACCTCCCTATGTGACCATCCAGATCACGGCACCCACCACAGACTCGGGTGTATCTGTTGCCCAGGTAGCCCATGTGGCTAATTTCAGTAGGACTAGTCACCAGCACTATGAGCCCACCGATGCTTCAGTGCCCATCAGCATGCGATGAACACACTTCATTAGTGCAGATACTTGTCCACCATGTTGGTAAATGTCTACGACCAGTCTGTCCGATATTTCTGCTTTTTGTAGCTTTCTTGTTTTGGAGTTCATACATTTCATCATTCTGAGTAGCAACACATCCTTGTTGTGTGTAATGGGCCTTCAGCCAGCATGGGGACATGTGTCAGCCAATCCCAGGAGAGTGTGGTGGTGTCGAAGGGTAACCCCCCCCCCCTATATAATACACTTTACAGCACTCTCTGAATTTCTCTTTTCTACTAATTCTGTGAAATCCCTTTCAGCTTCTAACCAAAGACGCGAGGCACCGGCTGGGGTGCCACAGCGAGAGGGTGGCAGAGGTCAAGAAACACCCCTTCTTCAAAGTCATAAATTTTAAGCGGTTAGAAGCGGGAATAATGGACCCTCCATTTCTCCCTGATGTGAGTATATCTCAGAGAGCCGATAGGTGGAAATACGGACACTATGGAGCTCAATGTATGGAAACAATCGTCCTCGTCAGCCAATGCACATTATACGAAGGGAACATCTCACATGTAACTCCTATCCAGTATATTCTTTGTACGTCACCCAGTGCAGCCGCCATATATCACCACCAATAGCTGTGTCTCCTCCACTCCCAGTATAGCCTCTAGAACAGTGGTTCTCAACCTGTGGGTCGCGACTCAAAAGTGGGTTGCAACCCACAGTTGAGGGGGTCCCCACATACCTTGTGCTGCTCTACGTAAGAGGCTCCTCAGCCTCCTCCTAGCGTGGCAGTGTCAGTTCTCCTAGATGGCGCTGCAGCAGAAGCGACCAGAGAGGATCAGAGAGAGGGGAGCGGGCAGGAGTGAGGGGAGGTGAGTGCTTGATCACCACAGAGCCCGCACTGGAAGAAGGGTAACCCCCCCCCCCTATATAATACACTTTACAGCACTCTCTGAATTTCTCTTTTCTACTAATTCTGTGAAATCCCTTTCAGCTTCTAACCAAAGACGCGAGGCACCGGCTGGGGTGCCACAGCGAGAGGGTGGCAGAGGTCAAGAAACACCCCTTCTTCAAAGTCATAAATTTTAAGCGGTTAGAAGCGGGAATAATGGACCCTCCATTTCTCCCTGATGTGAGTATATCTCAGAGAGCCGATAGGTGGAAATACGGACACTATGGAGCTCAATGTATGGAAACAATCGTCCTCGTCAGCCAATGCACATTATACGAAGGGAACATCTCACATGTAACTCCTATCCAGTATATTCTTTGTACGTCACCCAGTGCAGCCGCCATATATCACCACCAATAGCTGTGTCTCCTCCACTCCCAGTATAGCCTCTAGAACAGTGGTTCTCAACCTGTGGGTCGCGACTCAAAAGTGGGTTGCAACCCACAGTTGAGGGGGTCCCCACATACCTTGTGCTGCTCTACGTAAGAGGCTCCTCAGCCTCCTCCTAGCGTGGCAGTGTCAGTTCTCCTAGATGGCGCTGCAGCAGAAGCGACCAGAGAGGATCAGAGAGAGGGGAGCGGGCAGGAGTGAGGGGAGGTGAGTGCTTGATCACCACAGAGCCCGCACTGGACGCCACAGAGCCTGCACTGGACGCCACAGAGCCCGCACTGGACGCCAACAGAGAGTCCCACTAGCCACCTGTGAGCCCGCATAGCCTCCTGAGAGCCCACACAGATACTGGTGTTGGTGCATCCCTACATTTTTACAGTTGGGGGTAACCACAACTTGGCAAATGTTACCAAGGGGTCCCGGCCCTAGAAAGGTTGAGAACCCCTGCTCTAGAAGCTCCCACCATTACAAGTGAAACTGGAATAATTAGAATATGGTGCAAAGTTCATTTATTTCACTAATGCAACTTATGCGGTGAAACTAATATATGAGAGACTCATTACATGCAAAGCAAGATAATTCAAGCCGTGATGTGTCATCATTGTGATGATTATGGCTTACAGCTCATGAAAACCCCAAGAACCCCAAATCCACAACCTCAAAAAAGTAGAATATTACATGCAATCAATAAAACACGGATTGTACATAGAACAATATCGGACCTCTGAAAGGTACAAGCATGCATATGTACTCAGTACTTGGTTTGGGCCCCTTTTGCAGCAATTACTGCCATTACTTTTGCACGATATTCTAATTATTCGAGTTTCACCTGTAGTTCAGAGCAGTCCAGCTAAGGGCCCATGGCAACTTCTTCTGTGGCCCACAAAGCTGAAGTAAGACAGCGGTCATTGTAGAGTCATATAGGGGTGCTAAATGCTGGAACGCTCCCTATTGCTGCCACTGCTCTGAGCTGAAAGCCCACAGCCCCTCGTGTGACCATGCAGGCCAGTGTGAGAGGGGTAAACAGAGGCAGGTAAAAGACGGGGCCCCTGGGGATGGAGCTTTCTGGACAGGGGCTATCCTTGTCACATGCATGTCTTTACCTTCATTATAGAGCATATGGCCATCACTTGATACTTTGAAATGAAAAATTGTAAAACAAAAATGGTTGATGCAGATGCATCCCTCCACCTGGGAATACGGGTCTCTTCTCCTCCGTGGCAGTGTGGTCCTTACTGCTGTAGTGAACACTGCTCATGTAAGCGCCACCCAGGCTGAATGATGATCCAGGGGGAGGGTCCATGACAGCCTGGGATCAGAGGAAGTGGGTCAAATGATGGTGGCAGGCATT